CTTTTGGATCTTTTTAGTGCGAAGATTGATGACCTTAATAAATTCTTGGTATGGTTGTGTATTATCTTCTTTTTTTCTCTAATACCCTTGCCAATTCTTCAGAGAGTTCAAGATCTTATTCATCTTCCTCACCGGCTTGAAAAAGAGAGAAGATTTTAAAAATTTAAGAAGGGGAGGAGATGAAGAGACTATCCTAAAGCATAAAGTAAAGGAAAAGAAATAAATTATCTCATTGTAAGGTAGTTCAAGAAAAATCCTTTGTGTGTGCAATGAACTGACCAGGATGAAGCAAGCATTTTTTACATAGGTTAAACCAAGCGTAGCATTCCCTTCCTTTGGATTAAGTCACAAGCAAACCAAGTATCATATGAAAACTCAAGGATCCAGTTGAAATCACAAAGCTCAAAAGTTCTCAGGACAAAATCCAGGTCTCAAATGAACCAACAAAGTGTCAGATGAAAATAACTAAAGCAAATCCACGTTTTCAAATGTTGGCCAATGTTGCAGATGGATTTTAAAGGTATCTGGTACAAACTCCAAGCATAGGAACAAGAACCCTAGATCTAAGTCCAAAAGTACATTTCCAAGCAAAGGATAGTAACACCAAGTCCATAGATCCAAATTAAATTTTTTTAGGGTTTTAATCTTTATTAATGTCATTGGTATTTTTGAATCAAGAAGTAAAATAAGAACAAAAAGTAAAGATGACAATGAAATATAAATGACATAAAATTAAATGACATTAATTTAAAGTGCATAAAGTAAAAGTTAGCACAATAATATGGAGTTAATGTTAGTGTTAGTAGTTATCAACCGATTCGGGACGATTTAGAGTTATGTTAAGTAATCGTAATTGGATTTATGTAGAAGTCACAACTATCTGAGGTCGGACAATAGCAATGTATGTCATACATGTTAGAAAAGAAGAAGAGGAGGAGGAGGAGGAGGAGAATGGGGAGAAGAAGAAGAAGAAGAAGAAGAAGAAGAAGAAGAAGAAGAAGAAGAAGAAGAAGAAGAAGAAGAGGGGGAGGAGGAGAAGGAGAGGGAGAAGAAGAAGAAAAAGAGGAAGAAGAAGAAAGAAATGGAGAATTGATCAAGCACATAAGCAAATGGATTGGATCATTACTTTAATTCATCTCCTTCATGATACCTTGAGACAAACTTATCACCAATTCAAAATATCAAAAAATGATTAAATGATCATTTAGTGATAGATTTGAAATGATAAAAGTTCATCAAACACTAATCTAAAGTCCAATTGAACATGGTGAGTTTCAATCAACCACAACTGACCAAGTCAACCAAAATTCAGAAGTACAAATCATCAAGAACAATCATATATATATATATATATATATATATATATATATATATATATATATATATATATATATATATATATATATATATATATATATATATATATATATATATATATATATATATATATATATATATATATATATATATATATATATATATATATATATATATATATATATATATATATATATCCAACTTGAATTTTAAATGGCTTAAAATAGAAATTAAAGAGAAAATTCAAATGACTCACCAAAATATCAAATAAAAAGCCACCAAATTTAAGAAGGTAAAAAAAACACTAAGGATTAAGATCTCAAAAGTTGAACTCAAAATTATTTTAAAATGATGGATAAAGAATTATTTGAAGATAATTAAAAAGAAAATAAAGATCAAACAAGAAAGATTGCTAAAACTCATTTAAAAATTATGAAAAAACATGTGGTAGAAAATATTTTTATGATTTTATGAAGAAAAAAAGTTGAAATGAAAAATCATTTTTTGAAAATATTTAAAATAAATTTTGAAAGAAAAGTAAAATAAATGAATTAAAATAAAAACAAAATAAAAATGTTTGCAACGGCTACACGCGTGTCATGATATGATTGGACAAATTCAAATATTTGGCACTATTGCGCGCGAAGCTCAACTTCGTCTTCAATCTATAGTCAAAACTAATGATCCTTGAACTCTAAGTTTCAAGCCCAAACACCACATGGTTTAACTTATATTCATGTCATCGTTCTCATCTCTCAGCATTGGAGCTATTGATCACTCCAAGCAGAGAGAATTTAGCAAAATACGCATAAAGTCTAGAAGCTTCAAAGTAAATTAAATTAATAATATAAATGATAAATGAATGGTGGGTGAGGTATTTTGATCAGTGAAGCAAGACGAAGAGAGTGGTAACTCGTTTGTTCAAGGATTTTACTCGTAACTACCTTTTTGAAGTGAAGTTTCATGGTTTGAAAATGGTGGAGTCGAGTTGGTACTTGTAAGATGTTCAGAACTTTTGTGATGCTTCAAACAAATTAAGTGGATACCGATGAAGGTTTCTAGGTGGATATTTGAAGTTAAACGAAGCTAAAATCTCAATTAGGATTTTCTGGTTTGAGCTTTTGGAGAGTGAAATTAGCAGAGTTTTTATGGATGTCAAAGCTTGCAAATGAAGGCAAAAACTTCCTCTATTTATAGGAGAATGAATGAGGTCACGATATGTGCCAAATGAGATCTCAAACATGTGAACCAAATTGAGAAATGTCTAGATCTAAACCGTGTGAAAAATGACACGAAATGTGTGAGTTTTGGTGCTCTTCAAGTCGTTTTGCATTGGGGTGAAATGCGTTTTGTGGTAAGGAGCAAGTCTGTACATTGTTTGGGTGGTCCCAAGTTGATATTGGAATGATTTCTAATTATAGGTCATAGTACAAAACAGAGTTCAGGTCACCATGCTCATACTTAGGCCAAATGAATTATACTCGTGTGTTTTGTGATTTTCGTTGAGTCAAATGCTCCTCTCATGGAGGAGAGCACAATGCAAAAAGAACCAACTCAAAAGGATGCTTGAGCTTAAAATGGCATGCTTGTGAAGTTGAGGTCGTGGCACTGATTTGCAGGTCTGGCATTAGGTTAAACATGTCATGAATCTAGTTTTGTGCACGATGACTTTTGAGCAATTTTCCAAAATTGATGGACTTAGAGGTTGAATTGGCATTTAACCCTTAAAGCAAAGTTGTAGAGGACATCAAAAGGGATATTTGACTCAAAGAATGCCTCAAAAATATTTATAAATGAAGAAGTTAGGCTCTTTAGACCAAATGACATGTCATTATTGATTTTAGGTCAACCAACCATGTTCTAATTTGACTTTTTTAACTTATCTTGCATTCAAAGGCTCAATCGTGATCACTTAAACATCAAATGAGGTAAGCTTGAATATCTTTCGAGGAACCTTAATGATTGCTTGAGAATTGAATGAGAAGGGCATGGAAATAAATACATGAGCCCTAATTTGAATCAACTTAAAAACATGCATCTAACTTGAATTTCTTTGATCAAACCGTGTAAAATGAAGATTGAAATGAAAAGGATCTAAGATTATAGGTCATTCCTTGAAGCATAAGCTTTGATGGGTCACTTGTTGAACAAATCTTGAGCTTGAGAATCAAAACCCTAATTTAGCAACTTCACTTGATCCTTTGATTGGAAAATCCTACCTTGCACAAAAAGAAAACAAAGCAAGACATATTTTTACATTTTGAATAAGGGTTAGTAAAACACAAAAGCATAGAAGGCAAAAAGAAACACAAAGAGTGTTCGGTGATCTCTCCCACAAGACAAACCCAAAGGTTAGGAGGATATCATACTTGTAATCTTGATGAAATGAAAATGATGATAGGTGGAATCTTAGAAGTAAAAATTAAGGTATGACAATATACAAGAAAAAACTTAAAGGCATTCATAACATCTGACTTAAGTTTAAGAAAATAATCTCAAGTGTATTTTGTGCATGTAGCAACAAAGCTAATATAGTATTGGTATCCACTTTTGGAAGGAAATGGTGTATAGATTAGTATATATGAAATCAAATGGTGCATTGTAAACATTAATAGATGCAGAAGAATTCAATCTATGTGACTTTCCTAAACAAAATAAACTACAAATTTGAGGTGTACTTTTATTGCCAACTTTGATATTACACATATGAAGAACATGTTCAACAGGCTAAAAATTTACATGACCTAGTTTTTAATACCAATATGGATTATCATTATAAGAGGTACAATCAATTAGACCATACCTATAACTACGTGTACAATTGTTAGATGCAAGAGAAACTAAGCCATAAGCACTTGAGCATGTCAATTGGATGTGTGGAAAACAATAAAAGCCATTGGCATCAAGAAACCCTTGAAGAACAACTTGATTAGAAACCTGACATTTTAGGAAGCATCTATTATCATGAAACTCAAAAATGATGGAATTATCTTTGGCAAACTTAGATTAATCTCCAACCTTTGGTATATGGAGAATCCTGATCTGCTTTCACGTCTACGGATTATTGAAGGTCTTTGATTTGTTTAGAAATTTTCCCAACCCTAATTTTGCTCCATCAGTAACAAATTGCAACTTCGTTTGATTATTCCCATAATTATTGTCCCAAACTTCTTGAACAATAGAGATTCAAAAACTTTATTTGTATTTATATAGAGCAAGTAATGCTGGCCATTTACAAAAGTAAGTTTATTCTAAACTTTATTTGTCACATTTCAACCAAAGAAAAAAGAAAAGCAGCCGTGGACCTCACTTCTCCACCAACCAAATCACCAAAGCATTTTTCCCATTTCAAAAGTGCATACATAACACATGATAATTGACTCATCAATACATGTTCTGCTTTCTAGGATTAACAAGGCTGAGATATAAGCTAGCAGATAATTGTGCATCTCATTGTAACGCATTATAAAAACTACATAAATTGATAACTTTAAAAAACATATAAATCTGTTGTATTTTTCAAATGCTATATAGTAAACATTTCAGTATCTCTGAATCCACCATCTTATAAGCAAGTTGAAACACAAAAATCATATAACTTTCAAGTAAAACAATGGAGAAAATCACCAGAAACTTGAAACAGTTGACAATAGCAGCTATTTGATATTATACAGACCAACAAACTACGGAGATATTTCAAGCCTCGGCTCGAAGCAGAAACCAGTGAAAAGCTGTAGCGGGAACCTCTTTGTAACGGGGCATTTCTGTGACCATTTCCATTGTTTAATGTTCATGTCAAATGTGAGAAGTGCAGGAGATCCATAACTTTGAATGTATATTAGATCATCGACGCCACTGCTAGCAAAAACATCGTCAAACTCTCCAAAGCCTTGGAAGTATTTGTTAGGCATTCGGACAATCTCTTCCCACTTTCTATCATGAAGAACCCAAATACCAATTCCTTTGATTATGTCTGGTCGATCATGTTTGCCAATGCCTCCGACCATTACAAGCTTCTCCTTCATGTTCATTAAACGAGCACACGTCAGAGTCAGAGAACACGGTATAGGAATAAAGCCCAAGCTAGCTTGAGAAGATCGGCTGGAGATATTATATGCAACTAATGCATGACGGTTTTCAGGCAGAACACCGCCAGTATAGTAAACTACAAAGTACAGCATACCGTTGCACATCACACTCTCATCACCACCTCTCCACCCCGTCAAAACCTCGGTTAGTGGCGTCGCCCATGCCTCCTCCTTTGAATTGTATATATGAATGGAGATATCCCACTGAAAAACGTTTTCAGGGACTTGCTTTGATTTCACAACTGCAACAATATAACCATGTGATTCCTTGTCAACCGAAATTGCTAATGCGCCGTAATCAGAGCTCATCCCTGGAGGCCTTAGAAGCTTCCTGCAACCTTTAGTAATAGGGTTGCACACGAATAATTTTGTTCTGCTGTCATTGTCCATGAAGCATACTAAGCCATATGATGAAGAAAAGAACCAATTAGAAGTTCCGATGAAGGGGAGTTCAATGCAATACCATTTCCGAAGGTTGGGATCATAAGCATGACCGGTTGGTTCATCAGAGCTCGTGAACATAAAATACCAAGGTTTCTGCGGTAGCAAATAGGAAGGGTTCCATAAAAACCTTTCCGCAGTCGCATTCCATCTTTTGCACACACAGCTTGCACGGAAAATGCTTGCAAGAGGAAGATAGGACAAGATACGCTCCAATAAATCATCAGGCAGAATTACATCCACAGAAACAGCATTCACTTCTTTATCTATTTCCTCAACAAGATCCAAATCAAAGTCCTCGGTCTCCTTTTGCAAGTAGTCATCATCATAGTGGCTGATCCATGCGATCTCTCCAGCCATAATAGAGTCGAAAGCAAAGGCCTAATGAATAAATATTTGGCATAAGCAATCAAAACCAAATCCTAAAGATGGAAAGATCCTTAAAAACTGTGTGATGTTTTGAAACAAACATTACTATGCACTAGCAGCACTAACAGATAACCAGGTAAAACAATATAGCACAAATAAAAAATCCACCGTGATTCCATTCATGCACATCCAATATTAAAAAACAAACGAAAAAACACAAATCACACATTCATCATATGAAAGAATTTAGTAAACAGAAGCTATTCTCACAAATCCACATGTGTACAACATTATGATCAGCACACACCCAAATCACACATTCATCATATGAAGTAACAATTGTTTTATCAGAAAAAGAGAACAAAAACTGCAACTTTCTAACTTTCTGATTCAATTCAAGCACTTAAAATGGCATAAAAAATCCCACATTTCAGAGAAATAAAACATGTTTCCATAATAAAAAATTGTAATTTTTCTACATAAAAAAGCAAAATTTAGACGAATAACACAAAATCAAATCAAATGATTAAACACCCACAAACCAAATCTTCAGATGATTAACAATCAGCAAAAAAAAAAAATCAATCTTTTACACAAATCAAATTCCAAAAACACATACAGATCAATGAACACAGAAACAAACACCAACAAATACTTTAAAAAAAAAACCTTAAAAAGACAAACAATTTGAGGATTGAAAGATGAAATTGATTAATTGATTAGAGAATAGATACCTTGTTTGAAAGAGAAAGTACAGTACTGTCAGTGTGGTAAAGGGTGTGAACTCATTCAGCGAAATGGAAGAAGGAAACCCTAGAAGCTTAAACAGCGAAATGAGTTGCTCTAGATTTGGTTGGAAGACAGAGACACATAAGAGAGAGAAACAAAGAGAGTTGTTTTTTTTCTTGTTGGTGATGCGACAAAAATGAGACGAAATGAAGTGCGGTTTTATTTTGTCTTTCGGATTGATGGTGCTTTTGTGTGGGGAAGAGGGAAGTGCGTGAACTTTGTATTTTTCTTTTTTTCAAAACAAAAAGAATCATTCTCATTTTCATTTTTTTAGCCCCTCTCCATTTTATTAAAAAAAAAACCTCTCTATTTTTAAGAGTTGTTTGGTTGCTATACTTTTGAGATGTAAATACACATATATTTAGAATTTAGAAAGAAAAAAAATTAAAAACAAACAATTTATTAAAAAATATTTGCATACCACTGATGCCATAAGTTCAACTTAATTTTAGATGAAGACCTAAAGGACCTTAGAACTTCTAAGATTAATGATATATTTTTAGGTAAAATCAACTTCTAACCTAGCCACTTAAAGACGCTACACTAAATGAAATATTGGATGTTGCAAGAGACAAAAAGAAGACTAGAAGACTTGATATCATCCTACATTTAAAAAGATTAGCACTTGCAGGAATTATATCTCTAAATAACTGATAGGAGAAAATCATAAATTTTGAAGGGTCCAAATTTTCTAAATAAGAGAGAATAAGAGAGAGGACCTGACCAATGTTAAGAGAGAAAAAAATGTTTAATATTAGGGGAAAAGATATGGAGATATAATTTTGTTTTCACTAAATATAAATTTTTCTTATCAAGCGACCAAACCCATCGATCTTCTTCTAATGAGTAACAAGAAGCCTAAATGAAAGTCATCAAATTAATCACCCACTCATTCTCCTAAACAAATCAATCTCTCTTACATTTGAGGCCCCAAGACCAAACATCATCAAAATATGAATCTAATTATCCAACTCTCTCAACATGTTGGGTCAAAACCATGTAAAGTCTCAGAAAATGATCTCTCAAAAGAAATATGATCACACCAAAGGTCATCCTTAAAGGAGGTGAAAAGGACATTTCATACCTTCCTCGAGAGGTCCTTAGTGAACCAATTAAGGTATCTTGAGGGTCAGGGCTAAAGAAGGAAATTCCTTTCCACCACAAATGTGAATATCTAAAGCCACTTCACCTCCTATGAGAGGCAGATAAGACCACATTAGTCTCAAATCTAGCTAAAAGAATATCAAATCAGAGGCTACAATCATGTAATAATCTACATTTCTACCTGTTGGCTGAAGATTTTGATGATATTGTTCGAAGCGAAGCAAGTTGGATGTTTCGATTGGAATAAAGCAAGATGTCATGTTTCGAAATGGTAGAAGCAGTGCTTCGAATGGGCATGTCAAAACTCTGAGCTTCGAGTGACAGTTATGGGGATATATTCAAAGAAGTCTCGAAATGGTAGCAAGGCTGTGTCCAAGAAATGAGTTCGAAACAAAGAGTGCCAAAACATTTGAAATTCAAACGCAAGCGGGATGTTCGAAATTTGAAATATATGCGTTGGAGCATTCGAAGACGCGTGGAAGCTAGAGAGGAGCATTGCTTTGCATGTTCTGAACGTGACAGAATCTTATAGCAAGACCGTTATGGTCGAAGTAGTATAAATAGAAGTCTTAGCATTAGGATTTCGTGTGTCATATCTATTGTACAAAAATTCAGTAAACATTCAAAATACCACATGGCTAGGGAAACGAATGCACGAACAATGTACGTATGATAACACCAAGTGTTTATGATTCAATTAAACTCTTTATCATTTTCAGTCTTTTCCTCTATCTTCATGTCAATATCATTCAAAAACCTTTACATTAAAATATTTTCATTCGAAGTCTTTTTACTGATGTCTTACATTTAAATGTTTTCTTTCCATTTCAAATCCTTTACATTTCAGAAATAACTTTTGTATATTTCATGCCTTTATCTTCATGTTTTTATCATTCGAATACCTTTTTCATTCAAAGTCATTTTACTGATTTCTTACATTTAAACGCTTTCTTCATATTTCGAATCTTTTACATTCCAGAAACGCTTTTACATTACATGTTTTTATGCTTCGAAGTCATTTACTTGTCTTTTCTGCAGTTTTACATGTCTTTACAATTGAACTTTATTCATGCAATTTAGTTTCGCAAGCATTTACTTGATCATGTCATTAGATCTTTAATAGAGTAATCGAAGTAAGTTGAACACCTACACAACATTCTAAATACCAACCATGAATATCAGTTCTATAATGAGAATTGTCCAAATGACCAATACACTAGGATCAATCTAGTCGATCCTGCAAGTTACCAGAGAGATTAAATAACAGTCATTAAGATTATTTGATAGTTTGAAGGACTAGCGGTTGTTTACCAGAAATCACTGTAAACAAATTGGCACACCTGGTGGGACGCGTCATTGGTCATTACGAAATTTAGAACAAAGTAAAAAAAAATTGTTGAGACGTAACCATTGTAGAAATACTCTCTAAGTGATAAGTTTGTTGTTATATGAACCTTATAAGTGGTAGAATAACCAATAGCAACCAACCCTTACCCAGAAGAAAACGTTTAAACAAGATGTCTAATCCAGACAATCAACAAGGGGAACAGAATATCCCACATACAACAGGCACTAATATCTCCACCTCGATGGGAACATCTAATGTGATCCCTTCGAACGCACAGTCTGTTGCATCTTCTACCAGTAGCGTAGCCACTAATGGAACAAATGGCATATCAACTAACAGTCCGATCCTAGGAAATACTGGAACCATTGGTTACCCTGGGGGATTCGTCCCACCATCAGGGACACAAACCCATTTCGCCACCCCACTAACTAGACCACCCGGTTTCGATGGTAATAGAACCAGAAATTCCTCTTATGGAATGCCAACATCTTTTATGGCAGGTTTACACAATTCCACATCGAATTCATCACCATAATTAGGGTCTGGGTCTGGTGCAAATCAATTTATGACAAATAACCAAGGGTCAGTGGGTTATAGTGCAATGCCTATCTTAACCACAGAAAATCAGTTGGCCTTTAGGCAATTAATGGATGACAGTAACCATAATATGATAGGAGTATTAGCACAAACTATGCAGGAGATCTTTTCCCCAATAGTACAAAATGTAACTGTGACAAATAGAGAAAACGTAACATGAGTCGAATAGCAGACTTCTTCGCTCCCCCGGAAAGGCGTAGGCAGAATTAGGCGGGAGTTCGAGCAAACGTACCTATTATAGAACAAGTTGCTAACGACCCACCCTATAGACCAGCCAGAGAGGAGGTTAATTTGGGGGCAAGGGCACAAAGGTTAGAAGCCCCGATGATTCATGGCCCACAAAGGGAAATTATGGAACCAGGGGCAAGGGTCGAAAGGCTAGAAGTCCCAGAGTTTCGAGAAGAACAACCTAGAGGAGTTGTCATGGTGGGTCGAAATCAAGATGCTGATGCAGTTGTTCACAGAATTCGAAACGATAACATCTTGGCAGAAAACAACTTAACCACCATGATAGAGAGAATCATGGCCCAGAATGGCCTCAACATAGGAATTAGAAGGCCAAATTATGCCTCTCCTATATTAGATTACATAATGCACACTGATTTACCAAGGGGATATAAAGTCCCTAAGTTTACAAAGTTTGCTGGGGATACCAACGAATCAACAGTCAAACATATAGCCAGGTATCTAACCGAAGCAGGAGATATAACCAATAATGAAGACCTTAGGATCAAATATTTCCCAAGTTCCCTGACTAAGAACGCTTTCACATGGTTCACCACTTTGCCTCCTAGGTCCATTGATACTTGGGCTCTTTTGGAGAGATTATTCCATGAACAGTTCTACATGGGGCAATCAAAAATAAGTCTGAAGGAACTAGCCAGTGTCAAGAGGAAGTTTACTGAACCCATAGATGATTATCTGAATAGATTCAGGCTCTTGAAATCTAGATGCTTTACAGTAGTTCCTGAACATGAGTTAGTCGAAATGGCTGCTGGCGGCCTGGATTACTCTATTCGAAAGAAATTAGACACTCAATACTTGAGGGATATGGCTCAATTAGCCGATAGGATTCGACAGGTCGAAAGGCTAAAGGCCGAAAAGGCCAGAGTTTTTAAAAATAACAAAAAAGAAAGAGTCTCCTATGTTGGAG